AGAAATAAAAGCTTGTATTATTATGTATTATTATTCCCCGCAGAGAGCTAGGATTTTCCAGGTCTAAATTAACCTCCCGTGTTCTTTGTTAAACACAAAGAAAAATCAAAGCAATCTGTCGACGTTGTTAAAATTTAGTTGTACTGGCTAACCGTTCCCGGCAGTTGGCAGGGTGTAGATTATTTTCGAGGAGTTCAAGTGGGTTAGTCGGATCACCAGGACAAAGAAAGGGACCACCAGAAAACGTTTGGTAGGACAAATCGAAACAAAGAGCCACAGCACACTAATATACCTACCTACCCATGAGATACATAATAACACACACTTTTACTTTGTAGATGTAAAGGAAGTAGATACGGGAGATGGAGAGAGAAAGAAAGAAATAAAGAAGAGAGAGAGACAGCAGAACAACAAGAGGGGAAACAAACAGAATAACTTGAAAGGGCTCTGTTGTTCATGTCAAATTAAACCGTTGACTAGTTTACTGATTTATGTTTCTATTTAATGGAAATAATAATCCATTATGGACAAAGGGACTCCATTTTAACATAATCAGTATTTAATACTCATGCTCGGTCAAATATATTGTCAATATCTCTCTGATTGTTGTGTAACAGTTACAGAATCTTTGATCATTAGCCCGGTTCACAGTGGAGCTATCAATTCCAACCGTTTGGTTCTTTGTGCTATTTTAGCTTAATTATTAATTATTTTATCAAAGACCCTTTATTAGGCTCATGGTGAGAACATTCCAGCTTTGTTCTTTATTCATGAATTCCTCAAATGTTGACGGTATCACGCTATTGTCTTCAGTCAATTATCTACTTTGAGAATAGAAAAAAAAACTAACAGAGCAAGCAATAAATTGTAGAAATTTTTGTTTAAAATCTTGTCTCGTCTAGCGTGTCGCGGTTTTGCTAAAAAGAAACTAAAGATTGGAGCGAAAGGTCGAGCGTTAAATCACAGGCTTCCTTTCGCGATACCGGAAAGCAATTTAAGTATTATTTTTTAAATTTATATTAAATTATTGCGGAGATAAAATTTTATTTAGATAATTATATTGTGTCTTCAAAATTTAAATATTTATATAAAAGCTAATTTGTGTTTATTTCCGATACGAGTTATATAAAAATTAAAGAGATATTTAGAACAAATTTACCAAGCTTGATGACGTTTATGACTTGTAGTTTAATAATTTACACAAAATATTTCCCACCAGATCTTGATGTCCAGCGACCAGTACATTTACTTGGCTCTGACGATGTAAATATACAGATAGATGCATGCATATATAATAGCTGCGGTTGGGAATTGTATGAGTATATATCTTACTTGCACATCTCTAGTGTTTAAAATGGCGTCGTTCCTTTTCTGTGCCAGTCATTGAACTCTCAGAAACTAAACCGAGTTCTGTAGCAGTCGGCAACGACCGTACACCAAAATATACTTACGGTTAAGATACCAAGAAGTGCAAATCTAAATTGTCACGCCCGAAATCACATTTAAATTTATTGTTACAGACACTTTTTATTTATGTTAACGTTTAAAATCTTTTATCATCATCATCGTGTATTTTCTCAAGTTTATTTTATTTTCTCTCGCTATTTATTTTATCTTTACGCTATTATATCCCGCAAGTGTTGACTTGCATGAGAATAAAATCATCGCGATAATCTAACTATTTTTTCCTCGCCGTTTATACACTCTCAATAATTATTTTATTGTCTCGAGGTTACTATTGTGAATAATTTATTATTTATCATATATCATCGCTATTATACTATTCAAATTTATTTTTATTTGATTGTCGTATATCAGTCTAATAATTAAATTAGCTGATATAATATAAATCACTTTAATCAAATTATTCTATGCGGTCAGTATATAAAATATTATAATATTAACTTGGTAAATTCTAAAACAATGCATGTGTAATAGTAATAACTAAACCGATATTGGCTGCATTAGACAAAACGTCATCGTGACTCACATTTATTATTATACAAATTCTCAGGGTCTAGTTGATAAATTTACAATATTCTGCATTATTTATTTTCTTTGATTTATATTTCATTTTATAACATCACTAGTTTATTATTTAAAAAATTTTGTCCAATCATGCACTGAAAAAAAAAAAATTAACTTGAATCAAGAGAAAAATTCTTAAACCAAAAACTAACATTAGAAATTTTATTATAATTTTGTAACAATTAAATTACTATGAAAAATTTTTATTATAATTTTTCAACTCAAATTAAAAAGATGAAATTCTTCAAAATTATTTATTTGATTCAAGTTAATTTTTTTCTGTGTAAATATTTTTATGATGATACTTTATCAATAAATATATGCCTGGCTGTAGAGTCTAGATATATCCAGCTAGCTCACCTGGGCGTTCTGGTTTTGTCTGATTTCTCTTGAACCTACGCTACTTAAAATCCACGCCCACTCATTGCTCTCACAAGCATCAGCCGAGTGAATTTAAAGTTATATTCTCGAATGCAAATATCTCCATATACATTTGTTGTATTAAATAAACGAGTAAATTTATCTATGTACGATAAATTCACTGCAATCACAAATAAACTCATCATACAAATATCTCAATTGTTATTCCCGGGAAAAGAGATATCCAATATATTGTCCCTGGGTAAAAAAAAAAAAAAAAATTATTGTTTTAAAAAATGAAACACAAATCTAAAGAAAATAAAATGAAATTTCATTCAGTAGCAAGTGAAAAAATAAAACATTCATTGTTTATTATTTATACAAATCTACGGGTCATAGCGTTGCGCAATTAATTTCAGCGCACTCGACATTTCAATTAAATAAATGCTGATTTGTTTTCAACAATACACCGACGTACCGGTGTAATGTTACTGCTTAACGTCGAAATTTAATTGTTTTTTTTTTTAGAAAAAAAAATATCTCAGTGCGTTCTGCAAATCTTCCATCTCGAGAGTAAGCTAGAAGCAAACAAGAGAATTTTTTTTAAAAGAACCCAACTGCGAATGTATACTGCAGGGACAAAGTAAAACCACCCCTCTGACTTCTATTAGCTTCTACACTCTTCCCCGCTATTCTCGTTAGGGATCTCGCGTACAGAATAAAACACGGAATAAAAAACTATCCTGGTAGCGTAGATATAATAATAAAAATGAATGAGAAAAGTTAACATTTTATTTAAAACTCTCCTGGTCGGTAGTAGCCGGTAGTGCCTTTTTACTCTTGTCATTATTTTTCGAGTCCTTTTTTAACCGGCGACCTTTCCCGGATGAATTCACTGCCAGCTGCTGTAGGAAGTATTCTCGTTATAAATCCAGTTATTTTAGTTCCTCGTGAGTCATGTAATAAATACATAATAAAAAGGTGTCGGTTATAGAAAATTCAGGAAGGCTAATTTTTAAAGGAAATTAGTTCCTTGATATTGGAAATTTTTATTTAGAGTTTGTATTAATTTAATTGAGTTGAATTATTATTTTTTCTGTTTATACAAAATATTTTGATGGCTAAGTGGCGTCGCTCTTTTTTAACCGCGCAGAAAGATCAGGGTTCGAGCCCAGTCTTGGGTAAATTTTTAACAATTCTTTATTTTAATCAAAAATAATACTTTTTAACTTGAAAAAATAATTTTAAAAATTAATAAATTTTTTTAATCAAAAAATTAATCAATCTAAATTAATGACAAACTAGCAACTCATCATGTAACAGATCAACAATTAATAACTCGCTTCGATTGCCAGATTTAAATCACCAAAGAGAAAGAAAGATCAGGTTACTTACTAAAAGATAGTGTCTGACTCTCGTCAATTAATTTTCACAAATAGGAAAGCTTTTTGTTGACAACTAGTTTCGTTTACTTGCATTTTTTCGCCCGACAAACTTTCTCTCTCGCGTGTCTTACTAGACCAGGTAAATAAAATAAAAAAGTTAAACATACGAGACAGCTCTATTTAATTTTCTATAGATTGCGGTCAACGAACGTCAGACACCCACGTCATCTATCTTTAGTTTATTTCAGCCGCGCTTATATTATATTATTATTATTATTATTATTATAAATAAAATAATCATACAAGGCCACTGTTTTATTTTTGTTTTAATCTATCAACGGCTATAATTAAATTAATCGAGTAAATAAAATGTTTATCGCCTGATGCAGTTATCTGAAGATGAAGAATAATTTTTTTCAACTCTGACGTCAATAAGTGATCCGAGGTTGCGTCATGCTGTCTATTACAGTGTAAATAAAATTTTGAACCTGGACTAAAGTACCAGTTTTTATTTTTTTTGATCTTGCGCGTGTCTGGGCACTCGTTATTGCTCATAAACCCTCATCAACTTGGTCTTGCTCTTGAAGGTCTTGCCATTTCATCTTATTCTTTTTTTTGCTAGACTTACACTCAATATAACTTGAGTGTCCATGTACTATACTGCTTAAACTCTTCAGTACAGACTGAATAATAATAATAATAATAATAATAATAATAATAATAATAATAATAATCATAATAATTGCTGCTTCTCAATGAGGTTTACAGTTTATTGATCGATCTTCCGACTGTGTGCTTTGCTCTGCAGTTTCATCCTACCTAATATATAAATATACAAACCATTCTACAACTATATATCTTAATGTTTTATCTATATATATTTCTATTGTAATTTAATAGATTTGCTAGCTTCATTGAACGAGTGCTCTATCGATAAAAATGTACTATTTATTTTTATGAAATAATTATTTTTTTCTTAAAAAAATTATAAGATTGAAAGGATAGAATTTTTTTTAACAAAAAAAAAATTTTTTTTTGTAATTTAAAAATATTATTTTACTTGAATTTATTTTGATAAATAGTTTATCTATAAAGTTATCTTAATTTTAAAGTTTAAAAATATTTTTATGATACTGATAAGTAGCACAAATTAATGATGAATAATTATTTCTAAATTTAATTACTATTAATAGATTTTGTAATAATAAATAAATTTTTTTGTGTTACAGAAATGACAGCAAAGAAGACGTATTTGTTCATCAAGTGAGTAATAAATAAATAAATAAAATATTTTTATAAAAAAAAAAAATGAATTTATGTTTAATGTTTGTTTATAAATTTATTTTTCAGTCGGCTATTGTGAAGAACAATCCAAAAAAAGCCGTACGAAGTGTTGGGGACGGAGAAGTTGTCGAATTTGACGTAGTGATCGGTGAGAAAGGTCATGAAGCTGCAAATGTAACAGGACCTGAGGGCGAACCAGTCAAAGGTTCTCCTTACGCCGCCGACAAACGTCGTGGTTACCGTACGTGGTACAACAGACCCCGCGGGGGTGGCTCAAGACCTCAACGCCGACCAAGAGAAGGCCAGGAGGGTTACGAGTCAGGTAAATCACTGTCACTTTCTCACTGAATTGATTTTAATTAATTCTCGGAACTCCAAAAAATTTTTATAGTTAAAAAAGAAAACAATCTCTATTATTAAGAGAATAAGAAAAATTTTTATTGAAAAAAGGTTGCATTTAAAAATGCTCTATTTCTAGATACATAATTAAGAAATTACCTTGTATCTCGTGAACTATTGACATTTTTAAAGATATAAGCTCATCCCGATGTTACACTCATCGAGACCTTTCATTTGAGTACCCACATCAATTTTTCATATATTTATATATATATTATATATATGTATATATGAAAAATATATCAAAAATGCATGTGGGTCTCAAATGAAAACTCTTGATAAGTGTAAGATCAGGATGAGCTTATATCTTTGAAAA